AACTACGGTAAAAGGGTTTGAAACCGAACGAGTGTTTAGGTCTCATTCTAACTGCTAAACATTGGCTTGTCTGCTCGCTAGGGGAGGCTGAAGCACTAGTTTGTTATGCGCGGAAGAAGGGACTAAACAATGTTCTTAACAAAAGGTGTCTTAGTTGGAAATCGCACGAGGGCGAGGAATTTGTGTTTATCGCATTGGACGTTTTGGTTTTGGATATATTAGAATAGTTAATAAGGTTTCGATCGCACGGGGGCGAGAAAAGAGTTGGAATGATTAGATATTTTAAGGGAGAATGGCGACTACTCGATAAACGAGACGTCGGCCTCGCAATCAATTAATCAGGGTATCATTGGAATGCTAGATTCCAACAACAGCTTTTTCAAATAATTAATTATGAAATTGTATTTGAATGGACAATTATGGTATTTTTCCAAATAGTTAGGGCACGTGTTTTATAAACGAAAGGTTGAGCGAACCATAACCTAAAGCGTATGCCCCAAGAGTGGTTACTCAAGAATTCAAGGAATGCGAGACTCCAAGAACTCAATTCTTTCATAATTTTTCATCAAGAAAATAGTTTAGATTTGACGTATGGTTTAGAAACATGCTAAGGTTTAGACTCTATCGCGCGAAGGTGAGGAACGAGATTGGATGGTTTGAAAAAATTAGGAGGAACGACGACTATTCGATAAACGAGACGTCGGCCTCGTAACCAATTAGTCGGGATATCGTTGGAATGCTAGATCCCAACGACATCTATTTCATTCCATTAATTATAAAATATATTCGTTGGACAGTGAATACTTGTCCAAGTAATTAGAAGAGGTGTCTTAGGAACGAAAGTTCGAGTGACACGTCATTCAAGGCGTATGCCTCAATAGCAGTCACTCTCGAATTCGAGGAATGCGCGACTCCAAGAACTCGATTATTTCGTGATTTAATTATGAAAACAATTTGAAAATATTAGCGTACTCGGACTAGGCGCGCTAGGTATTCTAGAAAATAAGATCGGAAGGGTCACAACTCAAGGTGTGCACCTCGAGAGCGGTTGCTTAAAAATTCAAGGAAGGCGAGATCCATGAATTTAATTGTTTTGAAATTTGATTAAGAAAAATAATTTAACTTTCATATATCAAATAAATTAATCAATTGTAAAAAATCTTGAGAAAAGCTAATAATATCTAATTGTTTTGAAAAAGTTTAATATCTTAGAGAAAATATTTTAACTTAATTAATATATATATATATATATATTTTTTCAATACTTAAAATATTATTTGTTTATAGTTTTGGAATATATTTATTTAAAAATAATAATTGGAAATTTCTTATAAATATATAATCAAATAAAAATCGACTAATAATATCTTTTAGAAATTTCAGTTGAATTGAGTGAAAAACGGTTTTGAAAATCAAAAGACGGAACAACCACAACTCAAAGGCGGTTGTGCAAGGACCCAAGGAGTGCTAGACCCCAAGAGCCCGCTACTTTCATTGATTAAGAAAACAATTGGTGGTCTTAAATTGAGAAATAATTAAATAATAAATAATTGTTAGAAACTAAATTGGATTGAGATTTTTATTAATTAACCAAAAAACATTCGAGTAAAGTCAAGGTTACGTATTTGTCATCCCATCAATACAGGATTAATCATCAATTAGTAATAAAATAAGAAAATAAAAGTCATAATCTATAGATAATATTATAATTAACTTTAGATTAATTACCTAAAATTAAACTAAATAATAACACAAACTAAACCTGTCTCCTATTGGCCTTATAAGGCCCATCAATAATGCAAACAAGCTAAATGGCCCCAATAGTCACTTAACCAAACTGGCAGAGAGTGAAAAGAGAACTCATGCCATCATATTCGAATTTCTCTCTCAGCCCAAATGAAAAAAAAAAGCGACAAAAAAAAACTCATAAACCCCAGCCATTTTGCACGCGTGTCTCCTTCCTCCTTCATGTTCTTTCTCTCTCTCGACATCCGATTTCACCATGGAAGAACCACCCTCTTCACTTTCTAAACATAGACCCTTCAAGAATCCCTCAACAATAAACTCAACAATCCAAAAACGCAGATCAAAATACAAGCCCTAGGCTATCAACAGCGGTGACCCACACATCACGTCAAGCAAATACATATCAAAGCAGTCATCAACACACAAAACTCAAATTAAAACCCTAACCTCGACCAAAACCCATACCCCTAAATTCATTGCATTTCAAAGAGTTCATAAGTTTAATGGAATGAGTACTAACAAGTAAAGAGGTCGAATTTGAGCTTCTCCAACGTAACAGTTTCTTCTTCCTACTTTTGCTTCTGTTTCGCTTACTTCTTATTGTTTACCGTGTGTGGTCTATGGCTAATTTTACCTCCCTCAGAGTTCTAACGTGAGATCTAAGGAGGTTTGGATAAAGATCCTTTGGGAAGGTTTAGGAATTGATTTGGGCAGAGCCTCCTTAGGGTTTTTCCCCTTTTCTGCTGTAGTTTTTTTTTAGGGTTTTTTCCTCTCCTTTTTTCACTAATCATTAGGTCCCTTTTTATAGGAGGATTCAAGATATTCTCATACGTGTGATTTTTAGAGAAATCCTGAGGAATATTCCTTCAAGTGTGTGAGGTTGTGAGCTGTAACTTTAATACCGTTAAAGAGGTTTTGCACAAAATCTTTTGGTAGGGAGATTTTGGGGGGACCAGGATGACAGTGACCTGTTGATTTATCTGTAGTGTGAAAGAAAATATCTATTGTTACCTGAATTTTTACCACATGTAAGAGATGTTTTTTTACTGCTATTGGTTTTACTAATTTGTGGCCTTTGGTTGACTCAACACGATTCTTGAATTTTTGCTCTTATTTCTTCCCTCATGACTTATTATGCAGATTGTTTTTTATCATAGTTATTGTGTTGCGAGACATCTTATCGTTTGAATGATTTTTGCAGGGACATAAATGACAACTTTCTTGGCACCACCCTTCAAATGAGCAACAACTTTATCTTTGTTAGTGAAAACACCGGTAGACTCAACAACAAAGTTAGCTCCAACTTCACCCCATGGGATCTCCTCATGGTTCCTAGTTCCAAAAATAACAACTTCTTTCTCACTGAAAAGAAGGGTTTTAGAGTCTTTATCCTTAAATTCAAAATGCTTCCATTGGCCATGAACAAAGTCCACTTGAACATATAAATCAGTAGTGATGAAAAGGATTGTTGATGGCAACGAGTTCAACATCGTTTCTTTGAAGAGAAACTCTTGCGAACAAACGACCAATTCTTCCAAATCAGTTTGATACCGATCTTGATATTGAGTTGAAAAGTTGTGGAGAAATAATGAATGAGGTTATAGTGTGGTTTGGTGTTTCGCGAGTTATTTATGCATTTGAGTTTGTAAGGAATAGTTGTTGTGTACTAATAGCCTTAATTTGAATATCTTTATAGGTTATATTAATCATCCTTCGGTATGAGGATTGCTTAACCAGCGTGAAGCCTCGTGAAGTTTGTAGCTTGAGTCATTGGCAGTGACGGAAGGCACCTTGCAGTGCTTGGCAGGTAAATCTGGGATTCAATCTTAAGTGTCTCATTGCGCATCTCTTACTGTTATGGCCTGTTCTTATACTAACCAATGATCACCTTTTTTCATTTAGAGTCAATGACCCAACCAAGTCATCTTTGACAAAACTCGACAGCAGCTTTGGATTTTGTAAGTACCCCAAGTTTGGTTATCAATAAGAAAGATCATCACCAAAGCAAGAGCATTAGTTCCAATAACACTTTTTGTTCCTGAGGACGTTATAGCAACTCCAATAGGCAAGTCAGTGTTTGATAGTGAACTTCTTGTCATTGTGATAATCCTTGCACAACAGATCTCTGGCTTTCTTGCCGATGTCGGTGTAGAGACCAGGACCCTTCACCATGGCTGCTCTGTTGAAACGAGGGATCTCATTGTCTCTTTTTTTTTTTGCATTGTGAACTGATTATGGCTTGTATATTGTACTAACCACCTTTATTTCTTATTCATGTATGCGCTCATGGGAGGCTTGGCATAACACGGGTTTGATACGACAAGGAGAAAGACCAACAACAAGCTTGCGCCAGCTTTTCCTTGTGTGCTGCTTGTTATTCGAAGGTATTAAGCTCATTCACTTTGGCCCTTTTAGATTTTTTCATTGTTTTTTTATTTGGGCTCTTCATTCCAGAACTAATATCGCTGGGCTTATACAGAGAGAACCGTACAACATCATTTTGGGTATTCAATTCAACTGATGAATTACTTATGTATCTGGAAGGTGGCCAGTTTGCCTGATTACCTTGGCTTCCAGTGACACTTGATCTCAGCTGTGAAACAAAAGCTGATGGAGAACATAGAGGGGGTAATTTTTGAAAGATGTCTTGGTATGCTGTAAGTTCTTGGATGTATGGAGTAAGGAGTAAAAGATCGAAAATATCTGATAGGGGATGATGCAATAGTCGGAACATTTTCAACTAAGCATAGCCCGAATAAGCTATGTCTATTGGATGCGTAGGAAAACCTGTGTCTTGCTCCTATGACTGAAGTTGCAGAACACATATAAGTCCAGAATCCTGCTTAAACGAAACTGAGAACTAACTGATTGGTAATAATCCTTTATCTCCGAACTTCGCCAGCAAGGATGAACTTCAGAACATTGAAATGAATTTACCAAAATCTTTATATAACCGTGAGCCACAGTGACATTGACCGATGTCAGTGAACGACGATTAACAGAGGTATTAGGGTTCGATGAGCTCCGGAACACTGGAGGAGTTCAACGAGTACCGGGAAAAAATTTACTAGGGTTGATGAATAAAGTTCAATCGATAAATTTGGGAGCGAAAGAACTTGCCTTATATGGGCAGAGTACACTTGTTCCCTTTCAGGGCTCATTTGATCCCATCAAAAAACAGCGCCCACGACCTAAAGTTGACCTTGATGAGGAGACTGATAGAGTGTGGAAGCTTTTGCTGTTAAATATAAACCATGATGGGGTTGATGGAACAGATGAAGACAAGGCCAAATGGTGGGAAGGATAACGTAATGTTTTCCGTGGACGAGCGGAATCATTTATTGCACGGATGCATCTTGTACAAGGTATCAGTGCAAGACCTTCAATCAAAGTTTAATCCTTTGCACTCATTGGCTTTAGTTGCATATTTCATACAGTATATTAATATAAAACATAATCAACAGGAGACAGGCGATTTTCTCGATGGAAAGGATCAATTGTGGATTCAGTGGTAGGAGTTTTCCTCACTCAAAATGTTACAGACCATCTTTCCAGGTATATACTCTTCTAGGTTTTTTAGCTGACTTTGAATTTAACAACATGCCACAACAACTTTTTTCTCTGTTGACAGTTCTGCATTCATGTCACTTGCTGCTCGATTTCCAAAAAAAAAATCATGCAGCATGTGCGGAGAAGGCACGAGCCTGACAGTCAACAAACAACAAGTGTGTGTGGTGGAACCAGAAGAGAACACCAAATGTGATGTAAACTTATTATATGAATCTGTTTGCAACCAAAGTTCTATGACAGTAGATATAATTGAGCATTTTGAAGAAAAAACTATCAACAACAATGATTCCTGCAGAATTACCAGTAGCCCGATTATCTTAACAGATGAATCAAACTTCAAACGAACAGAATCACCTCAAATAAATAGTACAAAATGCCACGGCTCAATGGTGGTGATTGAGGACAGAGAAGAAAAATCATGTCATGATGGTATTGGGAAAGAGTTAAATGACATTATTTCATCCCAATCCTCTGTCATTTCATCTCAAATATCTGGAGATTTTTCAAATAATCAAAATCCTGAAAAGATAGGATCATGCTCAGATAGCAACTCAGAAGTTGAAGATCTGTCAAGCACGGCAAAATACAACACTTGCGGTTCCTTCTCTAAGCTTCTTGAAATGGTAAGTTCAACCAAGTTTTCTGAAGTTAACAGTCAAAGAAGCAAATCAATCGAGAACATGAGAGATGACAATGCAACAGAAAGCTGGGAAAAAATCAAATGACACACGCAGAAACTTAGGAGCTCGAAATCAGTGCCCTCCAAACATGAAGGAAGAGCATAATTTGTACAGGAAATATTAGAGTGTAGGATAGCATTTGTATCAGTTTGCACCATGATATTAAACACACAACTCACTCATTTTTCCATTTTCGAGTTTCCATATAATGAGAATGAGAGAACCAACGCATATATCATTTTGTGACAATCTTTGTATTCTTTTATATAGTAAATTTGTATCCCTTTTGAATCATTGAAAGTGAGAAGTCTTTGGTGTTTACCCTTCTATTCAAACATCTTGCCCTATTGCTTTTTCCATGCTTTACAAGACAAATTCTTGAGGACCATGGAATTTTATCTGTTGAACTTGGTATTTTTTATAACTTAACTATATAGCATCAACTTGATAGCTGACCCATAGTCTTTTGAGCGGGGAATTGGCTATTAGGCATGATAGAGATCGTAGGATATCACCTTTTCATATGGACTTGATTTGTACAATCACTCATGAATTTAATCCCGTAAGTTTGATTTGATAAACGCCGGGATGAACATATTGTGCACCTGCCAGCTTGTAGTATTATTATTTCCTTATAATCCAAGCAATAAAACGTGGCCATATTAACATCCATTGGTATTTTGGCATCCATCTTGTGGCAAACTCGTACTTATTTGCAATTTTAAATCCACATTGGCTAGTAACGATATTAAATTTTCTAATCTAATGCCATCACCAATTGATGAATTTCTTGACTAATTGCATCTAAATTCTAATTCAATTATGATGCAAAATCTTGTAAGCTAAGTCTAAGTTTGTCACAAACCGATTTAGAAACAAAACATAGCTGGACGCTTGCGTTCAATTCGAACAAAGCTTGAGGTTAAATCGACCATGTCTAGAAGCAAGTACTTTTGAACAACTTGGATCAGGCGCATGCCATAACAAGCGACTTGTACAATCAACTTCTAGTGAGGCTCACCCAACCTTTAGAGAAGTTCGTAACCAAGTTGAAATAGGGTTTAAATTTCTTGAAATCCAACAATCACGTTGCAAGATAGATCCAATCATGTATTTTATGCCATTGACCATATCATATTTGTTTGATCGTGAGAACGAGGATACACATGAGTTTGGATATAAGGGATGGAGGCACATTCTTCATCATAAATTGCTAGGGATTATAACCATAATGTGTACACACATGGTCTTTATAAACAAAGCCTTATAGAGTCATGGCCAGAAGTCATGAAACAGTCAAACCTCCATTAAATACCGAAGTAGGACAAATTTGGGGTATGACAGATGCCCCTATCTAATTGCCTTAAACCTGAGTGGATGAACTGTCGTATGGCGTTCATTTTTAGGTGGAAGTCAATTAAATACAAGAAGACCCTGAAATTTGTCTGGTAGATGAGTGAAAAGTATCATGAACGGGGTAATAGGATGAACCAGATAACCTGATATTCTCTGGGTGGTCGAAGCAGTCCCTTATCTAATAAAGTTCTTTGCGATACCAGAGTAGTATAACCAATCCACTTTGGGTGGTCGAAGCAGTCCCTCATTCGTTAAGGTCCTTCGCGATACCAAAGTGGTATAGACAAACCTCTTTGGTTGGTCGACGCAGTCCCTCATTCGTTAAGGTCCTTCGCGATACCAAAGTGGTATAAACGATCCTCTTTGGGTGGTCGAAGAAGTCTCTCATTCGTTAAGGTCCTTTGCGATACCAAAGTGGTATAAACGATCCTCTTTGGGTGGTCGAAGCAGTCCCTCATTCGTTAAGGTCCTTCGCGATACCAAAGTGGTGTCTCTAAACACGTGAGATTCTTCGGGTGGTCGAAGCAGCCTCTTATCCAATAAGATTCTTCGATGATACCAAGGCAGTATCTCTAAAATTTGTTGGGAAATAATTGAGCCAAAATTCCTATTGGAGGAACAACATTGTGCAAACTCTGCAGGGCAAGCCTTCAAGAAGCTCTGCTTGGGGAGCCATAAGAGTAATAGTTGCTGGGGATTATCATCATCAACTGCATGGTTGAAGAATGACTTGCTAGGAAGTAGAATTCCTGAACTCGTGGGGTATTAACTCTTTTCAGAGTCATACTACCAACTTCACTGGAGGACTGGCCAAGATGTTTGTGAACCGATCCTAGATCCTGCTATGCTGTTTATGCCACGTAATGCTAATGGGGATAACAATATTATGCATTGTGATGCACAAACGTGCGACTAAAAATGCTACTGCTAGGGAATGCAAGATGCGTATGCAAGTGATGTGCATATGCTTAATATGATAATGCATATGATCAGGTATGCTGGGGATAAAATCTTGTCGGGGGTATCACCAGGGACTAGATTTGGTAGTTGCCAAATGGATTGGACTTTGGTTTTATGGGGATGCCATCGAGGTGGACTTTTAGTGGTTGCCAATGAAGACTGGGCTTTATGTGGGGTGTGCCAAACGAGATTGGACTTTTATTGACAAAAGGATTTGACTTCCCGACACACAGTTTCTGGCAGTGCTACAATCAGAAAACAGAAGTGGATACTCTTGGTGTCCCAAGTTGGATCCTTTGCAGAACTGGTATACTTGTTCTGGTAAGAACCTTGCTTCTAGCTGATATGTCATGATGACTTAGGAACATTGAGCGTAGCGATTTATCCAAAGCATGTTGACTGCGCGAGCGTAGCGACTTAACCAATGCGTTTGGATTGCGCGAGCGTAGCGACTTAACCAATGTGTTTGGATTGCGCGAGTGTAGCGACTTAACCAATGCGTATGGATTGAGCGTAGCGACTTAACCAATGCGTATTAGTCGTGCTTTTGCTCTGCCCCAAGGCCTTTGACGCTTGTTGACCTAAAACATCAGTTAGTTTGCCCTAAGTTCAACTAGTTTGCCCCAGTCTGCCGGGTATTTGAAGGACTTTCCTCTGGGATGAGAACTTTGGCGATGATTATACCAGGATATGGCTTGAACCCATTTGCCCCAGTGTCTGGGCCTTGCAGTGGTCTGCCTCGGTTTAAACCTCAGAAGGACTTGCCCCAGATTTGTAGGGTTAGGAGAAAGTCTTAATTTAGGTCAACACCAATGAGTGATCAAGTTCCTCTTTGATTGCACTTTGTTGGAATTTCCATTATGCCAATTACTAATTTGAAAAAAAATGGTAAATTTAATGCGACATTCATACAGGTTATGAAAACATCATTTATTGGGAATGATGTAAAAAATGTGTGACGAGTGTACTGTTAATCCAAACGCAATGTTGATTTAATTGGTGTGAAAGATATAGCAAGAATATGACACCAATACATAAGATTAACAAATATGTAGGATTCAGTTTACACAACCTCACACTAGTATGCTTTCAGAATAAACCCCGCCTCAATTAGGTCTTTTGAGGGTTGTAACGCGGTCTGGTTCTCGGTTATAGAAATAAAGGATATTAGGCTCAAAGTATGATTTGTACCCACCCTTTCTTCGTAATGATCTCCATACCTACGCTCAGTTAATTTTGCAGCTTCCTGACGGTGTAAACTTGATGGTTCATGGTTTTCTTGAAACGGCAGCCACCTTATTTTGATGGATGTCAGTAACCCCTTGATTTGGGTGGCCACTGAATCTTATTTTATTTTTGTCGAGGGTTCGAGGACCTCTTTTTGGTTTTGTTTTTGATCCCTAACTTTTGCATGGACTGACTTTGTTTGTCAGATCCATCGGGATTGCCTTGATTTTTGTCTAAGTCTCCTTTAAGGTGCTTGCCTTAGCAGGCTTTTGATTTTTTTTTGGAGACTTGTGACCGCCAAGTCAATGGTCTTTGAAGAACAACCATCATAACTTTTGGATTTTGTCTCGAGTGCGGGATTGAATTAACTGAACAACTACCCCTGCCCCAGGTTAAGTGTAAGGGTTTAGAAATCCGAAGGAAACTCCTACTTCTAGGCTCGAAGTGGTTATCTAGGGACTAACTCCTTATTTCTCTAGTGTTTGGGGGTTCGAAACAATGCCTGTACATCATTAGCGGATTTTATCCGAAAGCATACTATCAGCAATTATGGGTATTTAGCTTTCGTCATCCTCCCTCAAATCTTTGCTAAACAACAGTGTGATAAAGGAAGTGAAATATTTTTTGTGATTTTGGCAATAAATGAGAAATTGTTGAGTGAATACGAATGGATTTGATCAAAACATGCATGATTATCACATTAACAATACCATTAATACGAA